TTTAAGCTTCACATTGTATAAATTAAAGACGCAAATTATACTATAATTCTAACTTTGAGTCATGCAGAATTTGCTCAAAGCAAAACTGTTCGCTGAAACTTGCTCTTCGAATTAAGCTTCAAAATTGGCCGAATACTACGTACGATTGCAGGATATATGTATGAAATCAGTTAGGCACTTGCGTTTTCAAATGTTGTACTCACGAATGCCGATCGAGTTAAGCAAATATATGAGATATCGATTTGGGAACACTATCAGACAAGTATTGAATAAGCATACGGAACAAAAGTAGTAGAAAAAAAGAAAAGTGGTCTGTTGTTCTATAGTAATTTTCTTTCACCTTTCACATGTGAAGAGATTACTTATTAGTACAACTTCTAGTTGGGGTCATCGTTAGTCTATTCGGAAACAGTTTTATACAGAAGGGGGCAAACTGCGGCGGATCACCTTTTCTTAGTTGAACCGACCATAGACTGCAAGACTAGAGAAACCACAGATCGGTTGCCGGCTTTTAAAAGTTTCCTTTGAAGTACCACTGTAACGTAACTTACTTATTTTTAAGTACACAGAAATCTTATTTACTGACTTCTGCTTGAAACTAAACCTTTGAAGTTCGTTTCTGTCGCATTACTTTAAGTACATTCTACGTTGAAGGAGCTTTTGTTTTTGTTACTCAAAGTCACTTTCAGTATTTAGCATACGAACTCATGAAAGATGTTTCTTAGAAAACGAAAATGGTTTCCACTACAGTAAAAGCTCTATTAAAGTACACTAAAAGTAATTAATTTCTTTTACTTTTTAAATGTTGCTGTATTTTATATCAAAGGAATTTAGTAACTTTGTAAAACTACTGATAAATTATAGCAAAATTTTACATTATCCAATATTCGGATAACACTAAATATGACTAATCTTACTAATATTATAAATGCGAAAGCTTAAATGGATGGTTAAACGTTGGTAACAAGATGTCAGAACCGCCCAACAGATTTCAATAACATACATTGACGATTTGACATTACTAAGTTTTTTTTTTAAATTCCGTGATGACAATCTTGTGGACAGACAGTAATAAGGAAAAGTAGTTACTGAGAGCGGAAATCGCAGTTGTAATAAAAAAAATCGCAGTTGGAATATAAAACTTTTGCAAAGAACTTTATTTTTACTTTGGTTATTCTCAACATCACTGTTAATATCGTTTTTTTTTTTTCAAAAATAGAACTTCTTGTTACGTGCAATGAACACTGAATTTTGAAATTGGAACGTAAACTGCCGTGCTCGTAGTCTGCAAGATGAATGATATGTTGAGACGACTAGTGTTGAAGTGGGACAAAAACGTAACTTGCAATTTATAATGTTCTTTGTTAAACACTGGAGTCTAAAACGTAGTAGGTACAGTAGAACCTCGATAATGTAAAGTCCAAGGGAAACACAAAATTTTTTAAGTTATAGAGGTTTTAAGTTATCTAGGGTCTATGTTATGTCTAATAATGTAATTACAAATACTGAATCAAATTTTATAACATTTCGTGTCTTCTTCACGAAAAGAAATTTCCCTTCGGAGTATCGATACAAATATCTTGTGTATACTTAATGAAGGCCAATTTGTAGACTTCCACTTTCCCGCTATTTTATAATAAAAAATGGACGAAAAGGGGAAATAGATTATGTCTTTACGTGACATTTGTTTCGTCGCATCGTAATTTAACCACTTATTTGTTTTGAAACAAATGTCATCTAACACGTAAGAAAAAATAACCCATTTATTTTGTCCTCAAAAAGATACAAAAAAGTAACTGCAAATAGGTAGGCTGCGTAATATTCGACATAAATTGAACTTCGCCTTGAGAAAAGGAAACCATTCGTCTTCGACTAAATCCTTGAGCTACAGAGATTTGTACTATACTCGTATACCTTACTTAGCTATTTTTATAAAACTAACTTTTAATTTAAAAGTTCAAGTAAATTAATTTATACCAGCATATAGAACGAAGCCTTCTAGCAATGAATAGAAGTGGTACCGAAACAATACAACTTTCATAAAATTATTAAGTATAATAAACCTAATTACATTTTCTTCGAGATAGAGTACAGAGATTTCAGTTTGTTCTCCAAATATTGGTTTTCTTTTAGGAAAATGACGTTTTATAAAAGCGACCGATTTTAAAATGATAAAATTTGTTCTTTACACTGGCATTCAATACGAAGTGCATTTCTGTGTTAGTTTGGAGTAAAATATGCTTGCACTAAAACACACCATTGTGAATTTTGACATTTATATATCGTTATTAAGTGTAAACAAGTAATCGAAATTGTTGGTTAATATAGAAAATAATAATTCAATACGAAATCTATAATACAATAATATAATCTTATCTTACTAATATTATAAATGCGAAAGTTTAAATGGATGGATGTTTGTTAGAGTTTGTAGCGTAATTGGCTGAATCGATTTCGATGAAATTTGGCATAGATGTAGAGGATAGTCTGGAAGAATACATAGGCTACTCACTTTTGTTTATGTTAATTCCACGCGGACAAAGTCGCGGGCGAAAGGTAGTCCTATAATAAAATGCCATAGTATGTATTAACAAACACTTTTTTTTTAATACTAACTTTTGCCCGCAAATGTGTTTGTGTGGAAATTAAGAAAAAAAATATCTTTGTGCGCGTTCCATCCTCTGTTGATTGCAAATGTGGATGTCTATTAGCAGCGGTCGCTTCGCTATTTTGGAGAATTCCGGTGGCTATCTCATTTGTCAGCTTTTATTATACAAAAGCAGTCTCATTTGTCATATTACTAAGCTTCATAAGAAGTAATCGGCAACTTGAGAATAACGAACTAATAAGTTTTATTTCCAACGTTTTCCGAACATTAGCTATTTTCGGGTCCAAATTTGATACAATCGAGAACAAAGTAAACATGTCACAATTCTTAATATCAGTAATATTAGGATATAACTCTTTCATATTTCGTGCAAATATTTCGGACACTTGGACATACAAATATGCTTTCAACGGACTGGGGTCACGTAGAAAAATCTTTTATATTTCACAGCAAAAGTGTATGCTAAAAATGCTTCAGTTATAAATTGGACGCAATTTACTACAACTTGCCATAATTTTATACAATCATTGTGCGATATTTATTTAAAAAAAAAACTCTTTTATTTTAATAATTAAATTTTAAATTCGAGTACAAAATACTACCACAACTTAATTACAAATATCATTTAACTTCTAAACTAATTTGAAATACAAATTTAATTAAAAATGTCATAGTATAAAAAAAAAAACTTCTTAGTATTTTCATGCCTGTGGTAATAAACTAAATAAAAATCGTATTATAGACGTTAATATTGCTTTCGTCTTTCGCAACATGACATCAAAGTAACCGCAGAATGTTCGTGAACATAGATTACCATAATCTGATAAACATGGCTCCGTACGTAGTTCCATGCAGATGTTATTTAATTTACTTGCTATCGGTGCAACAAAACATCAAATTATTTATTTCACTTTTAAATTTCATCACAAAAAATAGTTCTCGTTTTTTATTCACAAAACATAGACAAAACCAGAAATTAAACTAAAACGGCGATTAACTTCGCTTACAAGAGAGCGACAACCATATCAGCTGGTTCGGTTTGTTTGGCTGCTTTCTATACTTCTGGCCAGCATATACTCTTGGCGGTACACTCTTCCTTCATTTATGCTGCCTCATGTTATAGCAACACACTCCACAGCAATTCCGCTGATTATAGTTCTCGCGCAAACGGTCCAAAAAGGAAAAAACAGAAGTAACAAAAGAAAATCGAGTTTTAAGCCTCAGCGAGATGAAAAAACGTACACGTTTCTAGAAATTGCGTAGTTGAATTTTGCTTGTTGCTTAAAAAAATACAATTGAAAATTAAGTCCATGCTTTACGTATTTTTTTTTACTTTGGTAAGCGATTACATTTGAGGTTATTACAATAACTAAAGCATAAAAGTCAATTGAATCTAATTAACGTGTAATGATTGAGACGAATGAACAAAAATTTTTAGAAAAGGCTCTAAAGGTCGTAATATTTTTATTAGAATTCCTACTATTTAGGGCCCGTCCCACCACTAGCTGATAGTTTAAAAGTGACGTCACTGTCAGATTTACTAGGAAAATCCGCTACTTCCATCATGTATTTAATACGATGGATTGTTATCTGACAATTTACAAGAATTTTCGGACAAGGCCTGAATGTTAAAAAAATATTTGAGCACAAGATTAAAGCAACCCGCGCCTTTGGTAACCAAAAAATTCCTTTGATACAGATTCTTAGATTACTTTTATAGGCCAAACAGCCTACTATCGTTAATCTTTTATTGAGATAAGTTGTTGTTACGACGCTCGTAACTACAGACTCATTTTCAGCTAAAAGACCAAATCGATAATTTAGCAGTGACACGGAACACATTACAATTAAAGCTTTAAAGACACCGTTACAAATGCGAACTGAAAGCTAAGAAAAATATAATGCCGGAAGGACATTAGAACACGAAAATGGTATGCAAAGCATTCTCAACAATAAGTTTAAATGTAGATCTATGAATTTGAAACTATGAAAATAATGGAATATTTTTGCATTGCTATAAGGTTCGCTTTCGCGGTTCTATGCTACAGCCTTTATTTTTGCCTCTTTGTCACGGGCGGTAGTAAATTTTATCTTGTCATCATTGAACGAATATTGTTTTCTTTTCTTCAGATATCGTGTTATTGAAATGTGTTGATTTTTGAACTGCTTTGTAGTATTTATGCGATATATCTAATTCAGTATTACAAAACGGATACTTTTATGTTTTGGAGAAAATATCTGATTAGGGAAAACTACTGTAATTTTTCAGAGAAAATTACAGTTTGTTAACTAGTACAATCAAAATTATAAAGGTTTCTTAATTTACATATTACCATTTATTTTAGAAGAGAGTCACCAAGTTGTCCACATTTTAATTTGAAACAATGTTTTAGTTCTCTAAAACTAATGATTATAATATTTTTGTCAATAACAAAAACGTACATACGAAACTCCGAATACTTATTATAATTTCAGTTGCTGAAGAACAGTAACAGTCCTTAATCAAAACTTCATTGTAATACTTTTCTAGATCACTAACAATTTGATTAGTGAATTTATCTTTATTAGAAACTTGTATTGCTCCTTGTTCTAAAATATCGTCTATTATACTATCGCTTTTCTCACCGTGTAGCGTTTCCTTGTCCTCATATTCAACATTTATAATTACATTTCCCTTAGATGGCTTAGCTTTTTCTTCTTCCTTATCTGTATTTAAATCGTATTTATTTTTTTCAATACTATCATCATCATAACCATTACTCTCTTGACTATTATTCTCTTCGCTGCTTTCATAATAGTTACCATCAAGATGTTCAAGTGGTTTTTTATGCTTTCTATGTTTAGATTTTTTCTTTGTTATGTCAATTAACCATGGATAATATACGGGGTATGGCGTTATAGTATAATAGTTATACATTTCAGTTGTTATATAAAATGGTATATTTGGTTGAGTATCTTGAATACTAGGTGTAGTTCTAGAGCAGAGATGGTCGGTGTTACTGAGAGATTGTGAATGTTCTTCTGAGTTTAAAACTTGAATGTTGTTTGGTGTACATCGATGACTGCATCTTGTGTATGTGTTTGTATTCATACATGTGCATTTTCTTCCATTCTCTAGATCATCTGAGGTTATTATATCGGGTGTGATATCATTTAGACTACGAAGTTCAACGATTTTATCTTTTGAATTGTTGCATGTTTCATTAAAATTATCAACAAATTGATTTTTATTCATTGTATTGATTTTATTACTAGTTGTGTTTTGTTTTTTACCTTCTATAAAATGATGTGATTCATTAATTGTTATAGCATTTGATAGAAAGTTTATAACCGACCATTTTTGTTTAACTTCAAGAGTTGGTGTCGGAGCATTATTGCCTGTAGAAATATGTACAGAAGGGATCTGGTTTACGTCTTTTCTATGCAAATTCTGTTGTATAATTAACATCTCGTCTGATAACATTTTGTCAAAGATGTTAGATTTTAAATTATAAGTGTTGTTGCTTCTTTTTGAATTATAAAAATATGTTTGATGTCTCGCAGTTCCGATGGTGTGGTATGGTTCTGAAATGGATTAATTAATGTAGTCTAGGAGTTGACCTTTGTGTAAAAACTTCAAACTAAATCCACTCAGTAAGTTATAATTTTTTAGAATTATTGTATTATTAAATTGATATATTGAAGATATGCTTAAGAAAGGAGTGGATTCAGATATGACGGCTGATAGAGATGTATGGAAGAGCAGCACATACTGTGCCGACCCTCCATAAGGGATAAGGGCAAGTGGATGATGATTGTATTATTAAATTATTTGTTACCGTTTTGTCTATTTGACGATGCAAATGGTTTTTTAGTGTTAATTTCCTTGTAGTTAGAAATATCACTATTTTGAATAATCGCGCAATGTATATCCAACATATACTTCATTATAACTAGAATATAAAACATAAAAAACATAACAGAGGTAAACAAAATCCATTATAGCTGACAACTGACATCGCAGAAACTTTTAATATCCAGTCAAATTAAGCGAATCTCGTAGGCTTTACGGCTTTCGTAATGTTATATGTGTCAACAAATTCGCTATCAACATGTATTTTATTATACTTAAACTCAAATTAATTGTAATTATGTTTTACGTTTCTTCTGCTAGTGGTTTCTTTAACAAATACTGTGAAATATGTACTAACCACACTCTTTGCTTATTTACAGTAAGAAACTCAACTAATTTTATGATAAAATTTAGTTTTTACATTTATTATATCATTTAATAAACTACAATTTTTACTAGCAATCAGGACCAAGTCTCTCTTGTATCAAGTATGATGGAAACAGTAAACTAACAAACGTAGATACTAAATCAATTGTGAATAGAATCAATTCGAGAAGAAATTATATTGCATTAGGTCGATCAAAGAATCTACCAGGAGCAGGGAACATGAGGAAAATTGTAAGAAATATAGTTACTTTTATAACATTAATAGCTTTCGTCCTCGACTCCATCCGGGAAACTAAAAAAAGCAAGTAGCCTATGTGTTCTTCCAGACTATCATCTATATCTATGCCAAATTTCATCGAGATCCGTTCCTCAGTTTAGACTATAAACTCTAACAAACATCCAACCACCCATCTAAACTTTTTCATTTATAATGTAAGTAAGAAGTATGATTAGTAAACATATGTAGCAACATTATTAGTAAGTATTTGTAGCAGAAAAAAATCTATATATTGTATACGCTCTAAAATCTCATTTAAAAATGTATGTAACTTCTCTTGTTAAAGTATATGATTTATTTTTCTTCTTTGAAAACTCGTAACAATAATAAATCACAATTTCCTAAACTATTTCTTTGTAGTAAATATAATTTGCAATAAATAATCGTTTAAAGGTTTGGTCGGATGAATTAGCGGTTTTCGCACAGCGGTGGGCCGACCAGTGCGATCCATCAACACGACCACACAAAGAAGACTATTGTCGCAATCTTGGTACGAATTCATTAATTTCTTTACTCAAATCTACGATAATTAAGACGAACGTTCCTAATTTACTCTCCTTTAGATCTAAAGCCGGACAGAAGAACGTCAATAACAAAAATGGTGGCTACAGCTCATTTCTCTTTTCCAATTATTTTTTTTCAATTCATTTTAAAATTCATGGGATAAAGTAAAATGTAATGTAATATATGGGTAGCTGTTATATAACTATATGATGTTCTCTTCGAATCGCTTTTTATTTTAATTTGAATTAATATGTGCAGTTTGTTTGTCAATAATTGGAGTTTGAGTTGCGCACAGGAGAGTCTTAAAAACAAAAGCAGGTCGTCTACTGAATAAGGACGACCAGTATCTTTTTGTTTTCACAGAAGCTACTGAAGTCGGCCAGAACATAGCAACGATGTCAGACTTGTCTTCAAACTTTAACATAGCAAATTTTATAGAAATATGGTTTATGCAATCACTGGATTACAGAGGAAGTGTTACATATTACAATGAGTGAGCTTGTAATATTTTTGTATACTTGAACAACTATCGTGCCACAGCATAATGAACATTACTATAACATTTAAACAATACTGACTTTCGCCCGCGACTCCGTCCGAATTAAATAAAACAAAAATGATTAGCCTATGTGTTCTTTCAGACTATCCTCTACATCTATACCAAATTTCATCGAAATCCGTTTAGCCGTTTAGGCTACAAACTCTAACAAACATCCATCCATCCATCTAAACTTTCGCATTTATAATATTAGTAAGATTACTATAACACGACATTAAAAGTAACCTTTTTTACTGACAAAATAAGATTTTGGAATAAAAATTAAGTAGAATTGTTAAAATATTTTGAAATTATAAGACTGTCACGGGTTTAATTAATATTAATTGACACAGGTCTGACAACAGAACCAAATATTTCACTCAATTAATTTGGGCAAACACCGATAGGGTAGGATGCGGGCAGGCAAGCTTCTATGTAAGTAGATTTAACTATTTGAAATCACTAAATTTAAATATTAGCTTTACAATTTAAATTGAAAACTTTCTAGATAGAGAATGTACGAGTACTAAGGCTTGTATGTAACTTTGCTCCAAAAGGTAATGTTTATGGTAAACCTGTCTATTTAATTGGATATCCAGCTACTCAATGCCCCGAAGATATGGTACCCGATGAAAACTATAAAGGATTATGTAATAAAGTACAACGTAATGGTAAAATCATTTAATTAATTAATTGCTGTACTAATAGGTTACTTAATAGTAAGAGGTTATCTCTTATTCAATTGAATGTGGTGAGAACGACGCGTGGCTAGTAGTTGCCAGGGCGACGTTGGAGGCCTAACAAAAATCATATTAAAGGTTTACATAGAATAAAGCAATTTATTGGACTATATAAATTCTGATTTAAATCTATGTCATGAAGCGACTTTTTATTTTTGAATTTCCATTTTCCCGAAAATTTTTTCAATGCTGTTTTATTTTATTTTAGATGAAATATTTACATCACAAAATCCACCAGTCAGTAGTTTACTACGCATTATCAATTTGTCAAACAACACTGATTGGATTCTTCATAATAAAACCGCAAATAAAGTAAAAAGTCGGAAGCTAACTACTATATTTACTAATAACACTCACGGTACGTAACTAATACAATACAAAACTTAAAATAATTGAGAATGGTCTAATTACATAATTTTTAAGTGTTCAAAAATCGTTTAATTGTTATTTAATTATATTTAAGCTGCTGTTAAACGATATCCTCAACACAACTTTTGGGAAAAACCTTTTAATCAATCTAGAATGCGAGATCATAACATTCATCAAATAGAAAATCCCTGGAGAGTCTTCCACGGAATTGACTCACCCAATAACCTAAATTTGATGAATAAGAAAATTGAATCTGAATCACAAAAGTTAGACTCAATATATTCATTACCTCCATTCAATAAACAGGAGTCTCTAAAATTTAAACAAGAATCATCTTGCACTAGAAAGTCTAATTCACCATTTACAAAAGATGCTTTGCGGAGCAATTGTGATAACAAAAAAACAGCAGAATGCACAAGGGGACAAAAAAATAATTGTTGGACTCAAAGAAACCAATATGTGCAAGCAACTTCTCCATTCCTTTATTCAATTTGTTCTTGCGACTCTTACACTTCAACCACTCAAAGAAGCACAGCTTGGAGCAGTTACTGTCAATGTTTAAAAAATAACCCTCAAATAATTTGTTCTAATTTTCTAAGAACACAAGATGAATTCACAAACGATGTTATTAAAAATACTGGTACGTTCTACCACTACGATTTATTACCTAACTTACATTTACGCGAACGCATTGGAAGAGAAAACGTGCAAAATAAACTTTCAACACACGTACCAGCGAAAAAAAGCTTTGATTTATTAGACATATATAAAAGAAAACGAAATAATCCATTTAACAGGCAGGTAATAAAGTACATTCTCGAGATTTTCATATTAATTTAAATATTTCTCATTGTTTCAATTTTCAATTTCAGGCAGAGACATAAAAGAAGCGATACTCGGTTTACAACTTTAATGCCATTTTGGCAAATGGATGATACTCTGCAGAAAAAAACAGCTGTTCGATATACGACATTATCAAATAAGAAATTGAAACACACAAAAACGAAAACTGGAACAACAAGTATTGAACTTATAACTCTAATGTCGGTAACAACTAATATGAACAGAGAACTGCCTTCCGTAACAGAAAAGTATTTATCATTTGATGAGCTGATGCAACTTCGAAATAAAGGAGGGGATGCTAGACGAGTGGGTGTCATAACTAAAGAATCTACTATCGTCCCTACTAAAAAAGAAATTACAGCAAATACGCCCTTTTTACGTATGAAACATTGTACTCGCAAACTCACTTGTACTTGGACTATTCCACAAATAACCGATTGTAACGGTAGTGTTGTATTTGATAATGACGGTAGTGACCGTGGCTCAAAAACTCCACCGGGGTACGTGGACGGTTGCACACGTACATCCACATGTACTCGCGATCATATGGATAGAAACAAACTAGTACCAAGTACGGAAGAATCAGACGACGTTGTTACGAGTACAGAAATAGACGACGACTATTGTGAACGACGATCTCTCGATATTCGGCGAAGAAATTCTAGAGGGCAAGCAAATTCTAAAAACCAAAATATAAATAAATTAGAATCTTTACAATCTTTTGAAAAGAAATCAATAACAAGTATAATATTAGATAAAAATGAAAGAAAAGACAAAGAAACTAATGATTGTATCTGCTATAATTTGCCAGCCAGAGCGAAAAGAGATGACACTAGAAACAATAATTACCCAATGATCTACAAAAGAATTATGAAAAAGAGTGGAACACGTCATAGCGAAAATTTGTATTATGGTGAACTATATTATAAGGTTTTAAGTAAAATAACAGAAACTTGGAATAAAAATCAAAATCAAAATCTACTTGGAAAATGTTTCTGTAGTGGCGGCGCGATAGACGATAATTACGCGTTTTTACTTTTACTAATGATATCTTGTATTATTTTATTTACATGAAAATTAATACTTATTTATTTATATGTTTTTTCTTTATTAAAACGAAATAAAATCTACGATATCAAAGCATAGACGAAATTTACTTTTTATTGCACCTTTGTGATAACAACTATATATGCAATAACTAGACAAGAATAAAAGTAAGAAAACCTTTAAACGTTTTTATTAAGAACTTGTCATAAAATTAAATTTAAAGCAATAAAGATAAATATGACAGAGGTTGATTTAATTTGTACTGAATGAGAAATTGCTCCAGTGCAATGAAAGCGATCGTTTAGTTTCAAAGCGCCTAAATCTGATGCAAGTTTTCTCAATACATCCTCATAGTAAATTTCATAAACAATCTTATCACTATTTCGTGCTTTATGGGTCTTTCTTTTCCTTTCTTTGTCATTTATTCCAATCTTCATGTCTGTGTATTTCTTACGTAATGATCGTTTTCGTCTCCTTAAAGGTTTCTTTATCAATATAATTTTGAAATTTCCAGGTAATATCTTGTTATTTCCTGTGGGTAGCATTACTATATTTTAGTTGTCTCTACATAACAGAGTTTGGCTTTGAGTAATCGGAGTTATTTACCATTTTCATCCGTATTTATGATTGTAGATGATGGGAAATCATCGGTCGCATTATCTGTATCTAAATCGGAATCAATAATTTCATCCAAAAAATCTTTAGTTCCTTGACCTCGTTTTAATTCCTGAATTTCCAATACAATATCAGATACAGCTGCACTAGTATTATCATAATACGATTCTGTTGTTTCGTTGGCATTCTGTTCAGTGTCATCTTCAGGAAAGAAATAATGCCCGGTAGAATGTAAATTAGTCAAAACTTCTCCAAGTTCAGCTTTAATTTTTACAGCACTAACATCAGACATAGGATCAGTAGTATCTTCAGCTCCATCTTTTAATGATGTATTATCTACAAAAGAGAAAACAACATTATTGTAACATAAATTTACCAAATTACGATGTGTAAATATTGTAATTTCGTACCGTTATTTCTAAAAATCACTGCCTCGACTAAATTCACAAGTAGAGTTGAGTTAAAATAATCCGGTTCTGTTGGTTTGACAGTTGTTGACGTAGCTTTAGTGCTATGTATATGATTTATAATATCAGCTACGGTCGCATCGGTGTATCCATTTTCAAGATTTTCTTTACTATCCAAAACTTTTGAAGCCAATAAATATTGTTTCAACGTTTGATCTTTTATCAAGCGTTTTTTAAATATTTCAATAAATTCTTCAACAGGTATAACATCTTTGCAAGTTTTTATATGACTTGTTGTTTTTTTAGTTGAACTGGTAAGATGTAATATGTGAGCAAAATAATCAAATCCTGTTACGTTTTCTTCACCATGATTTAAATCAACATTCTCAAGTACAGCTTTAGAATAATTGTCTGTATTTTTTTGTTGTTCATTGTTTGTTATATTTCCACTAGCGTTTGTTATTTTTGCATTATTTGTAGCATTGTGTTGATTGCTATTAAATATTTCACCATAACTTTTTATATTTTCTTTGGCATTTTCTTGAAGTTCAACATCTAAGAAACGAATGAATTGTTACGAATAGATATTGTACTTTGAATCCCTGGGGATTTTTTTGATAATGTGAGGGGCGGTTTAAATGATGCGGCAATGTTTAAATGATGGATAATAGATGCCAAAAGAAAAGTAAGATAACTAGGTGTATAAATACAGAAGATGGATTTACATTAAAAATAATAACAGATGAAAAATAATATAGGAATTCTATTACGGAATTGGCAACACTTACTGCATAAAAAATTATATTTCAAGTCGCAGGATCCGCCAAAAGGACAGTGAGAACAAGGATGACCTTCATGATATACGGATTGTCCGATTTGATTACCACTTGGCGAGAAATTACAAACTAATCTGTTGATTGTTCTGTTTCTTCTATCATTGGTGAATTCCTTTAAAAATGATTCTATTAATTGTCTGTTACTTAAAAATTGATTTAACTGACTTCTTAACTAGAGTATCATGCCAATTGTTTTCAAAACCGTTTTCCTTCAGAAACCTCTCTCCTCTACGTAATAGTGTAGTTTCAATTTGTGTGGATAACGACGGTACGAACCTAACGAGGTATTGCGTTTCATTCAAGTCTAACAACGCATTCAAATATCCATATAAATGCAACTGTAATAATATCTTTTGTATATATGAGAGTTTGATTTGATTTTATTTTACAGAAATACGTATTCGTTAGCAATAGAAATAACAATGTTATTCAATTCAAAGTAACCCTTTGATTCTGTCACGAAAAAATAATACAGTCTTTGAACGTATTTAAGTTACAATATTATTTTTATCGTCCTTTGTATAAATCATACCCGATATTTTGCACTGAAGACAAAACCAATATTGGGATAATTGTGTTATGTTTTACGTGCTCTATCTACCATCCAGAGAACACGTTGTCGATCCGCTATATTTTTCTAATACCAGAATAAAGTTTACCAGCAATCGAAACTTATTTTTTTACAATGTTCTTGAGATGATGAAAATGTTTTTACAGTGGTAGAGCCCGCTTTAACATCTTCGCACGAATGGGCCGGCTCGCCCGGTGAAATACCACCACACAGAAAACAGGCGTGAAGTGGAAGTAATTCCGCGTTTCGTTTGATGAGTGTGGTGCCGGAGGCCTAAATTTAGTCCCTTTCCTTTTCCATCATTTTCTTAAGAGCAAAGGATGGGAAGAAAAAGTGAATATGACGGTGGAGGAGACGCATAGGAAGAGGAAATGTCCTCTTTATGTGGGTTTTTTTCTCAATTAAGGGTAGGCAACACATCTGCAATTGCGGATGTTTATGGGCAGCGGTCGCTCTCCATTTCGATGGATTTTGGTGGCCGCTTGCTCGTTTGCCACCTTATATTATAAAACTAGCTGTTCCCATGCGACTTCATCCGCATGAAAATAAAAAAAATCATTTTGTTCACATAAGATAAGGCAGGGGAGATGATGATGTTCACATTTGTCAAAATGACAGCAGCAATTTATGGTCTCTTTCTCACATTAGGGTTTTTATCCAAAATATTTACCCCCTAAGTTTAATGTCGTGAAAATATATAGCCTAAAGCTTGACGTAAGTGTAGGGCTTATTATTAAAATTTAGAATTATTTAAAAAAATGCCGTAATTGCAGACATCTTAGGCAACAAAGAAGTGCGTGTTTACGCTTTATTATAATAGTATAGGTTAAAAAAAAAAAGATATAACTGGTAGATAAAATGTACATTAACTATACCTTGAACTTAACGCCACCGCATCCTACTTGATAGGATTCTGCCCAAACTAGTTGTGTGAAGTAGTCGTAATGATGCTGACGTGAATGGTTATATCTGAAATAAATGATATTTTCTTGAAAAGAGTCAAAATATCGCTGTCAAAATGAAATTGAATGCCAATAGAGAACCTCAGTACAGATGTCTCATACTGAATCTACACTAAGGGGACCACTTAACGTCACTGATCTATAATAATAAATGTTACGTACTTGCGATATCGCGATATAAATGAAGCATTCATGTTCAAAAGTTCCATGTACCACACGTCCACTAATATCGCCGGCGTCAAGCCAGGTGCGTCGCCAACCACTGTGGCGATATTTTGACCGATTTTAACACCATCTATAAAAGTATAGAGTAATAGTGAACACTTTGATCTGATTTACAGAAAACTCTATAAAACTTAATTTTTATATTTTTTCACAAAAATTTCGTAAACAATACTCATTAACGACTTGTCTTGCAATACACGTTTACGTTACCTTACGGTATATTAATCTTATAAAAACATATTCATCTAACGTAATGTAATAGAACCATCCATCATCGCACGTTGGACTTTCCTCGAGTATAACGACATTAAACAATTCTCAGTTAGTTACCGGAAGAACAAATTAATTATGTGCATACAGTTATATGAAATATCATAACAATAACTCAAGGCATAAAATTACCTGAATCTCCACAGATATCTTTATAATCCAACTCTTTAAACGGCGAACAACGGTCTGCCCATCTTTGCGCAGAATGTTGTAAACTGTCGCTCCAAACCTGCAAACGCAAGAGTAATAAGGTGTCTACAACTTTTCTAGTTATGTCATATCTGTCGTTTTAATAACATTGTATACATTTTTCATTACCATCTTATAACGTCTAAGTTACTAACCATTTTTATCAAGTTTTCCGCAGAAGGGAGAGAACGTATATCACCCGATGCTACTTTGTTCCGTCTGCTGTTTATTTTGTCCAGAATATCTTGCTTATCTTTGCTTGTTATAACAGTTTTTTCGTAATCGATGCAGCGGTTTACTGGATCATTTGACTGAAATCATAACACATTTTACGCGTTTTAAACCTACCCACTATACTGTTCTCGTACTGCAAGCGTTATTCTGCAGGTACTTGATATTATTAGTACTCGCCTCTTTACATATCGAATTATGTAAATCGTCACAACTGTTCAAATTGCAGTAACATTCCACATAATTACAAAACCAAACGTGGATAATAACTAATGAGATTAAATACAGAATATTTGCCATAAATATCAATAGCATTTATATCAGTCTTAAAATAAATTGCTAAAAAAGAAAGACTAGCCCGGATGTTAAATTATCTAGATGGTTAATTTTAACTTCGTTTAAAAATGTTTTAGGTTTAAAATGTGCTTACATTATGTGACTCAATATAATTTTATTTGATACAAATAATAAATAGCTTTTTATATGTTATAAATTATATCGGACTACAAAAAGTAACTCTTATAATTAGTGGCGGTAGCTCTAGCTGTCTTTGTCTCTGTTGTCTGAATTTAAAAAACGTCATGACATGACTTTGACACATTGTTTGGAAAATAATCATAACATAACCTTGATTATCTAAGTTCGATGTAGGGATAACATTAACCTTCCTTGTTAACCTAATAAGTACCATAATAATTTCATTACTAATAGTTTAATTAAACTTGTGCTGTACACAAACATGAGTCGTTCATTGAAAGCTCTTATTGGACCTTCCATTCTTAACTCGGACTTATCAAAATTATTTGAAGAATCTCAAAAACTACTGGATAATGGTGCGGATTACTTGCATTTAGATGTGATGGATGGACACTTTGTTCCCAACTTAACCTTTGGTCATCCAATTGTTAAATGTTTGCGGAATCATATAAAAGATGCTTTTTTTGAAACCCATATGATGGTATCTAGACCAGAACAGGTAATATGCCATTATCTTAATATTTTGAGGTATTAAGGTTTTCGTGAAACTACAGGAGTAAAAGTAATAAGATGTAAAAGTATTAGAATAAGTTTAATTTTCGAGATCTTTCTTTCTACTTGACTTTATATTACTGTTAAGGACTTTTTCTGCTGTTGCAATTTCTCAGACTGGTTATGAACAAAATATATAATATAAAGGTCAACTGCTAAATCTATTCTCAAAGGTACTATATTCAACATTGTTGTTCTTGCAGTGGATAGTGCCAATGGCTGAAGCAGGTGTGAATCAGTACACATTTCATATTGAACCCGTTACAAATGTAGAAGAGATTTGTCGCAAAATAAAGGAACATGGAATGAAGGTAACAGTGTACTTATGATATAACTAGCTTTCGCCTGCGACTCCGTCCACGTGGAATTTAAAAAAAAACAATAGTTCTAAAGACTATCATCTACATTTGTACCAAATTTCATAAAAATCTATTCGGCTGTTTAGGCTACAAACTCTAACAAACATCCATCCATCCATCTAAACTTTCGCATTTATAATATTAGTATGATTAATTAGAGATCATTAACACATGTCACTGACTCTCCTGACAAGTTAATGTTCATGCAAATAATTATGTTATTGTAGAATATATTGTTTGAGTCATGGAATGTAATACCTTGCCGAAATATTAAATTATGCTCAAAGTTTACTTAATGAATTGATTTTGTATATTTTAATAGACTTCAAAAAGTAAAAGGTACTTAATTCAATAGTTTTTGATATATGTACAATTATTACTCTAAGATTTATGACCTGTTTAAAGTGATTCATTACTTTTTTTCAAAATTAATGACTACAGTAATTTTTGAATTTTTCCTAAATAAGCATACTGAACGTTAGTAATTTTTGTCTTTTAGTCGGTTTTCGTTTTTTGATTTAAAAAAATATTTAAATTATCCAGGCTGGAGTTGCAATCAAGCCAGGCACACCTGTTGAAGAGGTGGAAGAATATATTTCAGTCGCAGATATGGTGCTCATTATGACAGTAGAGCCAGGATTTGGAGGTCAAAAATTTATGGAGGACCAGATGACCAAAGTCCAGTACCTCAGACAGAATTACCCAATACTAAATATTGAGGTTGACGGTGGTGTTGGACCTACAACAATAGATTGTTGCGCTAATGTGAGTGAACTACTGTTTTATTTATTAAATATATGTGCTTTTTTATGATTTATTCCTAAAGCTAAGTGGTTTTATACATTTTTGTCTTTGTAGACTGGTTAATAGGTAGCTGATACAGCCCCCAGACTAAACACTTTCTAATGGCTGTTAATTTGATGTAATTAAATGTTAAGACAAAATCATGTTACAAAACAATCAGTGCAGTTCACACTTAGATATTAATGCATTCAACTAAACTATCAGCAGATTAAATTTGTAATGAAGTACTTATGATTTTACTGCAAATAAATATAAGCATTTTTACTGTGTAATGATGTAATACCATTTTATATTTCCAGGCTGGAGCAAACATGATAGTATCAGGGACCGCTGTTACTGGGTCAAAAGATCAAATGGCAACAATCAAATTACTCAGAGATACTGTACAAACAGCTATTGATAAGCTTAAAAATACTAAATAGGTCAATTAAGAAACAATTTCTATACAAAAGGTTAACTATTATATACATTTTATATAGGGTTTTAAGAGTAAACTTTGTTTGAACTTGTTTTGTAAGGGTCCAATGGTCCATTCCTATTTTTGTACAATTTTAAATAAAAGTACAGTTATTTTACAGTTGTATTTTTTAATCAAATCTGCTTAAATCTATATTATTTTCATTACCCAAATGATCTGGAATATCTTGCTTTTCCTGTGGGAATATTGAACTTGTAGCTATACCAGTTTCTTTGAAAACCATAGGTTCATTTTCTGCTTTTAACTTGCTTCTCAAACTGGATAATGCTACAAGTACTGCTTCTTCAGTTCTAATAGTTCTTGAACCTTGATTTGGTAAAACATTTATGTAATGATTGAATAGCAAACTTGCGTCATCCACTTTCAATTGTTCATCACTTTCTAATGCAGCTTCAATGCCCTGTAACCCTCCAAATACTATCAAAGCATGGTTATATTTGACACCCTTATTTGGTAATTCATCAATGTGAGTACCTCTGTCTGATGTTCCAATAGTCAAATCATATCTGAAATAAACAAAAATTAGTATTAGATTTTATACACTAAGGTAATTAAACAGTCACAGTAGACCCTCAATAAGTTAGTCCACAAAGGGAAACACAAAATACTTTAAGTTATAGAGGTTTTAAGTTATCAAGGGTCTATGTTGTGGAGGTTTTGGGCTCTGATGGGAAGGGAACATATTATTTTGTGAAGTTATAGATGTTTTTAAGTTACCAAGGTTTGAATTATCAAGGTTCTACTGTATATTATTCATGAAAAAAACCATCTAAAGCATATTTTAAACAATAAAAATGTGTTCTTACCCATCCTTATATGGAGATTGTGTAAATATTTGACTTAAGTTGGTAGCAATTCTTACAGTGTAGCCCCAGTAAACTCCTGTCTCAGCTCTTGGAGTTGCTAGACTCACTATTTTACCCTTTAATTTCTTACTGCCTTCTACAGCTGGTAGCATTTTAACAGTAACTCTAATACCAGGGTTTATTAATTTGTCAGATGATACATCTTGTAATAATCCAACATTGACTTGTGAACCTCTACCTGGTTTTACTTTCTTGTTCATTGTGATCCCTTCCCTGAAATTCAAAATAATTAATGTCAACTCAAATAAAAGCTAGTAAGTTGTATGATGAACAGATTCAGTTTTAACTAAATAGTTAAACTGTACAATTAAACTGATATTTCAAAATTTGACACTCCTTCAGTTCTAACTGTGCAGTTCAACTATAAAGTTTAAATTGATGGTGTGTAACATGCTTTTTATCTTGTGCTCGGACAATATTGTATACCTGAATTTAAAATCATTGGACATTCTTAAATGATGTGGCGCATCTAAAGGATTTAATAAACCTGCAAATTCCAAATCTTTGTGTATAGGAAAAAAATGTTTCCTAAGGTACTGGGGGCATTCTAAATACTGAAGAATACGTGCTAACTGCACGCAACTTTTTCGAGCTATTTTTAATCCTTCAGTATCTTCCAATTTAGATTTTTTTGTATCTAATTTATCTCCAATATCATCGTAAACAATTACTTCATCAACACAAAATATGCAAGCGGCTCGAGCAATTTGTCCCGCCAAATATGTTCGCAGTTCCGCTGATTGGGCATTTTCCATAATTGAACCTGGAACAGCAATGCTTATTGTTGATATTTCAGCATTTTTCTTTTCTATCTCTGCTTCTTCTTGAGCTTTCACTTCTACTTCCTTTTCTAGAGCTAACCTCTTTTCGCGTTTTATTATCTTTTCCTCGTTTCTTTGACGCTTTAATGCTTTTCGCTCTTGATTGATTTCTCTCCAGCTCTTTCCCGGAGGTTTTGTAGGTATTAATGGGTCGGACATTTTAAAACAATTGTTTTAAATGATATTTATCGAAATCATAACATTTATTTCATTAATTTCCATGTGATTTTAAGTCAAACTTCACATTGACAGTTGACACTGACAACTGACGAAAGCCATTTGTCGAAAAATCAAAGAGTAAATAATACATGGTACTACTATTGCTGTGATTTATTATCTACTTCGCTTGTAGTGAATGATTGACAATTTGACAAATGACAAATGACAGACTTGCCAAGTGTTGTTTATTTTTTGTTATCAGTATAGTATACTAATATAAAAATAAAACGCATGTTTATTAATTAATTGTAATTAATTAAATTAACAGAAACAATCCAACAGTTGTGGTATTTAAAGGTATGCATTGTGTATTACTAGCTTTTGGCTCCGACTTGGTCCGCGTGAGATTAACAAAAAGTAAGCAGCCCATGTGTTCTTCTCGACTACCCTCTTCATGTATGGCAAATTTCATCTAGAGCCGTTCGGCAGTTAAGGCTACAAATTCTTCCAAACATTCATCTATTCAAACTTTCGCATTTATAATATCGGGAAGAAGTATGGTATGATTTCGTACAAAGTCGGCGTTTACTTCTAACCTCCGTGAAACCGGTAGTACCATGAGGTATAAAAAAAACAGTTGTACACTGATTGTTAATGCATTAAATACATTAAAGTCAAAAACCAAATAGTACAAAATCCATTTGAATTCTTGGTAAGTAAAAATTGATAACCAAAGACATAAAGAAGATATAAAAAATGTTGAATGATTAGATCACACTAGATATTAAAATACATATTAGTGGACACTGTAAAATATGACTGAAAAAACCAGTGGTCATTAGATTGAAATTTCTTTGCATGCAAACAATTACCAAAATCAACGCATTTTGTATAGGATCAGTTATCCAGTTATGAAGATGTGGATAACATCTCTTCACAAATTACGAAAAATAGTTAACATTTTCATTCATCATCACACCACACATCTGCTTTGTATTTGTGTCTTGAGTGATAATAAATTATTGAGAGATTGGATTGATATATTGTAAATGCAAAAGTTTAGAGGGATAGATGGATATTTGGTGATCTCTATAGAATTTGGCATAGATTTAGAGGATAGCCTAGAAGAACACTTTCACTACTTGCTTTTGTTTTTTTCTTATTACATGTGGACGGAGACGCGGACAAAATCTAGTTATTGTATACATTTACTAGTAATGTATAATCTTGAATGTTGTTTATTAGCCGAACTCTTTGCAATTGTATCATTATTTTCATCATATCAACAAATATAGTAGGGTTGTCACATTATAAATTAAAATGGATACTGTAATTCTGATGCTGTTCACTCTATTTTTAAATAACTGTAATAAGATAAAACTATTGACCGAGAGTGGGAAAGTAAATAAGACAGTTTTGTATTATTTTTAGAAAAAATTAAAATATGTTTTATTTTGGAGATCAACCAACACTTTCAGTGCTAGTTAAAATTTTGATCATTGGGTGTCATTTAAATTACAATTAAGTGACAACTGTTTCTGACAACCCTGTAAATAACGAACAAACAAAATTATCTGTTATCAGGACCCCTGTTGAAAAGGTCAAGATACTGTAATACTTGCTAGAGGCATAACATCAGTGTATTATCAAATATTTAAACGCAAGGACATGGCGGCAAATGGAAAATTAGGTAATTTATTTATTTTTAATAAATATTACTTTGTGTTTTCTATGGAAAAAAGTTCACTATTATGGTCTTTTTTATTTATACAACCACTGAGCATGTGTGCATCCTCCGTTCTAATGTTTAAATAACTTTTACATATATTTTAAATTTTTCAATAACATGTATGGTGCACATATTTAAAACAAAGGAATGAAAAATATTATTTGACGAATCAACCTTGAAGCTACCTCTGGGCTTTTTGGTCAAATATTAATCTGTTTTTGGGCGATTTAGCTAGATTATGAGCTTTAGCTTAATTACAATACATAGGTAATTGGCTCAGGCCCTAGATTAAACTATTGATAACTACTTACAGATCTAATGTAGCGATCCAAAGTAGGTCTTGGCCTCCAACACGAGAGGTTATTATTAAAACTAATTTGTTCAAGTATTGTTAAAATCAACTATTATTTTACAGCTCTTCTCAGCGTATCTGATAAGGCAGGGCTCTTGCCTTTAGCGAAATGCTTATCGGACATTGGCCTGGGGTTAGTGGGCAGCGGTGGGACAGCGACGGCGCTCCGTAATGCAGGTCTCAAAGTGCTGGATGTATCGGACATCACTGGGGCACCAGAGATGCTTGGCGGTAGAGTCAAGTCGTTACATCCCGCTGTACATGCTGGTATACTATCTAGGTACATTTTGACTACTCTATGATTCAATTTATTCAGACCATTGACCTCTATAAACTATAAGAGATAGAATTATTTGTTAGTAATCAATAAACACATTTTAATCGAAAAGTAGCAAAAAGCTATTTAATATTCATATGTAAATTATATTAATTATAAATATTTGCACCAGATTGACGGAGTCAGACCAGGCTGACATGAAGCGTCAGAAGTTCGATATGATCAGTGTAGTTGTTTGCAACTTGTATCCGTTTGTGGAAACTGTCGCTAAGCCTGATGTGACAGTCCCTGATGCTGTGGAGAACATAGATATTGGTGGTGTGACTCTTCTCCGGGCTGCAGCTAAGAACCATGATAGGGTTACTGTTATCTGCGACCCCAAAGACTATGATTTAGTTATTGATGAGTTAAAGAGTACTAAAGATCATCAGACATCTTTGGAGACAAGGTTTGTAACATACTTTTTAAGCAATTCTTACAGTTTTATGACATTCTTCTACTCTAATGTACTTATTTTTATGGCACCAAATTTTAATCATGTGTAACAATATTTACAGGCAAAGGTTAGCTTTAAAGGCCTTCACTCATACATCAGAGTATGACCTGGCCATCTCTGACTACTTCCGCAAGCAGTACTCAGCGGCACAGTCGCAACTCACCTTACGATATGGTAAGAACCACATACTTATCATAACTGCTGTGTTTTACTAATATTTTAAATGTAAAATGTAAAAGGTCGGATGAATGAATGAATGTTTGTAAGACTTTGTAGCCTAAATTGTTGATTGAATCTCAATGAATCTTTGGCATAGTTAAAGAGGATAGTCTGGAAGAACATGGTTACAAACACTTTTTTTTTGTAAGTCTGTGTAGCCTAAGTCACTCGCGAAAACTAGTTACTTATAAAGTTTTCTTTGTCTGTAAATAATTGAAAAATGGATTTATAGATACTATTTTTACTATTTCAGGTATGAACCCACACCAAAAGCCGGCACAATTATTCACAACATTAGATAAACTGCCTCTGACTGTTGTGAACGGTTCCCCGGGTTTTATCAACTTGTGCGATGCTCTCAACGCCTGGCAGCTGGTGAAGGAGTTGAAGGAGGCGCTGGGGTTGCCTGCTGCTGCAAGCTTCAAGCATGTCTCTCCAGCTGGGGCAGCTGTCGGTCTACCATTGACTGAGGCAGATGTAAGCAATTTATATATTTTTTGATTATAAAGGCTAAATCAACACTTGCTCACACTCCAATCGGATATATAGTTATAAAGAAAGAGATTAGATTATTCTTAAAGGTTATTGACTCGATAAATTAATTTCTTGACCATCTATCTATATGTCTAATAAAATTAGAGTGCCTGTTTGTAATATCAAAAGAAAAATTCCAGATTTCGGGAAGATGATGTATTTGATAACGAAAATCGCATTTAAAAAATTGTACCGGGTAATATCCGAAACGGCTGGGCCGATTTCGACGGGACTTTCACCTAAGGGAAGCTGACATGGATAGGCATATTATAGGCTACTTTTTTTTAAAATCTGGCGCTGTTAAAATGGCGTAATAGGTGGTCCAAATGTGCGCTTATGAAGTTTGCGGGCGACAGTTTGTATTTAAATAAATCTCTATTTGCGATCACAAAACTATGTATTCGCAGCTTTAAAGTAAGTGACAAGGGGGCATCTACGAGCATTTAAGGTTCCCAGTAACCTAACATTACACATTTTTTTTTTGAAACCCTTTTTAAAACAGAAAGGGGAAATAAAAAAAAATATCTTTACTTGAATATTTGTGAACAGGCGTCAGTATGCATGGTGAGTGACTTAGTGGGCCAGTTGTCGCCACTAGCGTGTGCATACGCACGCGCCCGCGGCGCGGACCGCATGAGTTCGTTCGGGGACTTCGTGGCGCTGTCGGATATATGCGATGACGTCACCGCGCGAGTTATCTCCCGCGAAGTTTCCGATGGGATAGTAGCCCCCGGGTACTCGCCTGAAGCACTGCAGATACTCAGCAAGAAGAAGGGAGGGAACTACTGTGTTTTACAGGTAATATCCAGTATACTCTGGACATTTTTTGATGATTTACTAGATTTCTCCAGCGACGTCGCGTCAAATAAAAATAACACTAACGTATAGCCTATGTGTTCTTCCAGGCTTTCCTCTACATCTATGACAAGTAACATTGAGATCCTTCCAGCCATTTAGGCTACAAACTCTAACAAACATCCATCCATCTATCCATTTAAACTTTCGTATTTAATATTAAAAATAGTAAGATAAACTAATGCTTGACCACGATCCCGGATTCTCACTTTTATTGCATTTGAGGTTGGCTACTGAAAGATTTTTAGTGGGTCAAATCCTACATAATCTTGTCTTCTCACCATAAAAACGGCACCAAATAGATATTATTATAGTTTTTATTGGCTAAATATTAAATGCGAATATTTGGATTTTTATTTGGATGTTTATTACTACATCTCTAAGATAGCTTTACGTATCCCGACCAAATTTGGCACAGATATAGAACATCGTCTGGAAGAATACAGGGTGCTTATTAAGTTTTTAATATAAGTAAGGAATAAGTTTTGAAGTAAACATCACTTTAATTGTGTAAAAGTACAATATTTAAGTAATATAAATATTTTAGTTCTATATAAAGCAGGATCGTAGTTCAATTATAAAAATCAATTATTTCAGTTTTAATATGTAACATTAATTTTAGATGGACCCATCATACACACCATCGTTGATGGAGCAAAAGACAATATTCGGTATGACTTTGGAGCAGAGACGAAATGACGCCAAAATATCTTCGGATTTGTTCAAGAACATTGTCAGCAAAAATCAAAACCTGCCCGAAAGTGCTGTGAGAGATCTCATAGTGGCTACTATCGCCCTCAAGTATACGCAGAGTAACTCTGTGTGCTACGCTAGAGATGGACAGGTATATATTTCATTTCTTTTAAATGTAATAATTTACTATTGTTTTTACATTTTTATGCTAACTTTGATTTGAGCTTTTACCATACGATTAATTTGGTCAATTGATTTCCGCTTTTACATTTGCCCTGTAACAATTTTTTTAATAACAATCAAACGACAAAGCGGCCACTCGAATCCGCCAAATTTGTAAAACGTCCACTGCATATAAATATCCGCAATTGTAGAGGCATTGCCTTCTCTTAATCGACGTAGGAGGAGACCCACACATCATTGTGGAAGTTTCCCCTTCCTATTTTTCAAACAATATAATTGTAACTAGCGAAATTAATTTAAACACTGAACCAGAGGTCCCGTTAGAATGGCGCGCAAATCATCAATCCTTCTAATGTCATTGACAGCTGTCAGATATGTGATGTTTATGCCAATAATCTTGTGTTACGCCAATTCTACAACGCGGTACAAATTTTCTTAACATTATGCGTTTTACCCGTAATATCTATATTCCTTTTCCATACTCTTCTTATAAGAAAAGGATGGAAAGTGAAACTATATATTATGATATAATTTACTATCAACGGCGGATCCAGGAGGGGGGGGGGTTATGGAGGTCATGACCCCCTCTGAGCTGATTGGTCAAGAGCTTGACAAAATATATTTACATGTTTTGTCAAGCTCTTGACTTGATCACGACTATGTAACTATGTGGCGCCAAAGCTGGATCTGCCCTTGTTGACTATGGTCTAGTAAGTTAGTGTAGTGAGAGAACCTAGGGACGTAAAGGTGATGAGTCGTCCATCAGGTGGTAGGTATCGGCGCGGGGCAGCAGTCGCGCATCCACTGCACGCGGCTGGCGGGCGGCAAGGCGGCGCTGTGGTGGGCGCGCGCGCACCCCACAGTACGCAGCTTGCGCTTCAAGCGCGGCGTGACGCGCGCCGTGCAGGCCAATGCCATAGATAACTATGTTAATGGAACTGTCGGTGAGTATACAACAAACATGACTGATAAGTTGATTTGACGATTTGAAGCGCCAATAGCCCAATGGTTTGGTGTACGGACTACCGATCTGCGATCGAGGGTTCGAATCCTAGCATTCGACTATTGTCGTAAACCATACTAGTGAATTTAGTTTTTAATTAAAGTAAATATTAGTGAATTAACAAAAATCTACTAATATTTAAAAAAAAAGTGTAGTCATGGACTTTTTAATTTAGTGTTGTAAGAAACAAGGAACTCATGCTGGTTCACACTACGCCAGTACAGTTGAACAGCGGCAATAACTGGACTGTCAACTGTCACTGTTTAAACGCTAACTAGCGCCAGTGACTTCGACTGGCCGCTGCAACTGCACTGGCCAAGTGTAAACCGGGCATTATGAGTCTTTTGACATTGACAGTGACTGCTAGTTTTTAGAGTTACCAGCGAGCGAAAAATACCCAGCTTCTTTCTAAATTCTCCCTGGTTGAAATTGAAACTAAAATATTTGCTAATTTTTTTATAAATCGAATTTTGAAATTAGAGAAATGGTGACAGTGAACCGTGGAGTGGCCACTTTTTCATTGGTTTACGACATTTTGACTAAACTTACGTTGATACACTTTTAGTTATTAATTACTTTCTACTCTATTAAATTGCTATTCTAACGTTCACTTCTCTATTTCTCTTTAGGTTCAGATTTGCCTTTAGAGCAGTGGGAGTCGCTGTTCGAGGGCGCAGCGCCCGCGCCGCTGTCGGAGGCGGAGCGCGCGGCGTGGCTCAAACAGTTGGACAAGGTCGCACTCGCCTCCGATGCCTTCTTCCCTTTCAGAGATAATATCGATAGAGCTGTACAGGTTAGTACTGTTTTTAATAAGACCATAAATATGTTTTTATATAAGATTTTTTCATAGATAATTTTTTGATCAGATGCTAAGAAATGTCAGACATTCACTCAAGTTTAAAGTCATTTTTTTTTGAGTTTGTTTTAATGTATTAATATATAGTTTTATTTTCTTAATAAAAATGTAAAAAATAAAGTTGTTATAATGCCGGGTAGCCGCACGTGAATATGTACTACCATAATTATTGGTAAAGAGAATAAGAAGGATGATTTAATGGTCTTCTTTTTATATTTTTTTATTATTTGCAGTGTGGCGTTCAATATATCGGCAGTCCGTCGGGCTCCAACAATGACCAAGAGGTTATCGCGGCTTGCGATGAACACAACATTGTCCTCAGCCACACTAATCTTAGATTATTCCATCACTAAACTACACCACTCAATATATTTTTGACCTGGCACATCGATACAAAGATACTCTTCTGTACGAAGTGCCAACTAAAACAAATACTAAAAAAATAAATATCCAGAGTAAAGTATATTTCATTAAATCAAACTACTTTTTGATATAAAAGTTTACATTTAACATTGTCTTCCAATAATTATATATGTCAAAGCATTTAAATAATTATTAAGAATCTCTAAACTTTTACATTTAAATGTAAGAAAACTTGGATTTGTTATTAAAATATATTTTATTTGTTTTGTCTTATTATTTGAATAATATAAAATATATTAAAATAATATAAGAAACATACTCGAATTGCAATATTATGCGAATATTACATAGTTTGTTAACAAATGATCATCCTGTAGTCGAAACGAGTTAACCCACAAAATATACTCTTTGGCAGCTCGTTTGGACTGTAAACAAACAAAAGTTATTTAAAATTGCTTTTTAATGTCCTTCAAGATTATTTGGAAATTGTCGCCAGCAATTAGTTTTTAAGTCAATTAAAAGTTAACTAATGTTATTTGTCTTTACTTTTTATATTATAATTTGAATTATCTACATTCCTTAAATATAATTAGTATTGCTAAAAAGTGCCTTGACAATAATTATATCAATAAACAAATATTTAAAAATCATTGTTTTTTTTAAACCCAATGACGATATAGTTGTGGCAAAAGTAGACATTTTCAAAAAAAATGTTGATTTGGTTAGGAAAATTTGTATTTCTACATGCGTCATGTATAAATGAATTACCATTTGGGTCATAAATAGCTCAGATCGAAAATGAGACGCCAAAACACCCAGCATATTCTTATAGATCAAGAGGTTGTCTTTGTATATCAAATAGGTATTTTTAATTTTCTTTTTAACATTTCATAAGGTAAAAACAACTACAATAATCTTTAATTGGAGATGTTTCTTGAAATTCACGATTCCGTATCCTAACCTCCCAATCTAGTTCTTGTTATCATCGCTTCGGGACTTTTTGTGATTCATTATCATCGGGTGTACTTGGTAAATCCCCGGTTGATTGCGTCATTCATATGCATAGGCCTTGTGATAACATGTGTCAAATTTACCCATATTTAGGGAAATTTTAACATTTATTTTACGTACATGTAAGGATTAATATTTACAAGTTAATGACTAGTTTTCAATATTATGTGTAAAGAAGGAACTTTCGTTACTAAATTGTGTCCTAGTAATTCCATTTGACAAATTAATGGTGTAAACGAATGATTTACTGTTATCGAAAATTGGTTACTTCGTTCATTCTAAAAAATAAATGTATTTAAAGTTATGCTATCAGGCGCACTTTATATTTTCTCAGGAAGTTGTAAACAAAATTATGGCAACTCCAAAACAAAATTCTAACAGAACTGCATGTCGTACTTCAAGATCGCAGTTTACGTTGTGCAAAGTGTGAACTGTAAACATTATGATGTTGATGTTTGGAACTGTTTAAATTTTTTACTTTTACTCCAAAAAGCAAGTGCCATAGTTGTGAAAGTGTTTTAATATTAAATCAAAGTATAAGCTAGACAGGTGTTTCACTAGAATCAACTTGAACTTTCAATAGCAAATTGTGTAGTTTACCGTGTGTTAAAAGTTCGTATATAACAAAAATGTCTGCAAGTGAGCCAGATATAAGCGAATCTTCCAATTTGGAATCGCCATCCCCCCAGTCGGATTCTCCTTACAGTTCTCCGTCACAACAGGTGCCCCAGTTGGCAAACTTCTTGACGGTTCTATCATGCGGAGATAATACGTTCAATTATGATACCGGTAAGTACAACACAAAAACTGATTATTCTGCAAAAGCATTGTATTGCTGCACCAAGAAAAAATACATGTTTCTTTGTTTTTTTACAATACTTCCTGCAGTTTCGAGTCACCGTTATTGCACATATTTCGTTGGTTTTCCAATCGCGGGACACTTAAATTGTCTCCTAATTGTATTGCTTGTGGGCATGATTTTACTTTAAAACTCCTGATAAGCTTTGTGATGTTTTCATTCAATAAATCACTTTTTAAAAATGCATTTAGAATTTAGGTTCTGTTATTGTGTTTTTCATTTGATGGATTTAGCTACCAAGTCAACTTTGGAAGTTTGATGATTATTGGGGACAGCTCTCATGTTATTGACTCTTATTCTATTTAATTGTAAAGTATTCTTTGTTTGCGTTGCAAAATTGTAATTAGATGTTGCAATCATGTTCTTAAATTACACTGAATAGTTTTATGCAGTACTATGGCAATATCATAAAGTAAATGTGCTTGAAGTTCAGTAAATGATATCACATATCATTGCTTTTATATTTGTATTAGACAGGTATAGAATTAGTAGGTAACCAATAATGGAGGAGGACACATCTTACAGACATGTTTTGTCAACATGTGCTATAGCTGCCACTGGTCAGTCTTACATACTGAGCTTCATATTTTTTTATTATCCCTATATCTTTGAGTATTTACTACATATGTTATGTAATAAATAAAGCAGCACCGGCTGAGGAAACCGATCACTCAAGCAATTGGTGGTCATGACTGCAGGGAGAGAAACCTCCTTATCATATTTGCGGTTACTAAAATAACTGCCTTTTGTATCAGGGCCCTTGATCCAACTGTTTAGTGAGAGCTTCTTGAGATGTTGAAGCTCTACGCTATTAATGCATTTGTTTTATTAATAACATGAACAATGAATCTTGTTTTGAAAGAACATTTGATAATTACTTAGTGATGTGATATTTAATTTACCATCAGGCAGGATCAAACATAAAAAAGATATGTTTATTTTTTACTTAAGCAAAGCTGCAATTTTATTTCTACTTTGCGATATTATGTTTTTACTACTAAGTGTTGTAGGAGAGGAGGTCTTAGGTGTCTCCTAAGAAGATTAAATCATAACACCATGATATTCCAATTAATTTAACATTGCAAAGACATTTATTAAAAAAAAAACAATACTCTCTAGAAATCTATGAACTGTAATCAGCTCTATGAACTGTAGATCTTTAACCTCATGCCACTTATGTAGGGTCGGCACACAAGGTTTCATAACTGGTTAGCTGCTTGTTGCCAACCCTACTGGGGAAGAAATTAATATTTTTTTATAAACTAATTATAGCTAAATACAATCCACTACTAGCTCTAGTAAGACTATATAATCTTGCACTAGCTAGCAAAAGTTTGTGTGGCACAATATTTATCATTTTTTTACTTGCAGGAAGAAAGCCATTTCTAAGAATTATTGAACAGCCGCAGAATCATTTTCGATTTCGCTACAAAAGTGAAATGGTAGGAACACATGGTAGTCTACTGGGAAAATCATATGCTCTTAATAAAACAAAAACGCATCCAACTGTTGAGGTAAGCTGAATTATTTATATCTTTTTATTTTCTATTGATTACTGAAACTTTTGGACCATTGAAGCAAAGAAACTACAGTAGAACCTTGATAACTCAAACCTCGGTAACTTAAAAACCTCTATAACTTCAAAAAAATAATATGTTCCCTTCCCATCAGAGCCCAAAACCTTTACATCATAGACCCTTGATAACTTAAAACCTCTATACCTTAAATATTTTGTATTTCCCTTGGACTTTAGTTTATCGAGGTTCTACTGTATTTTATTACTGAGACATTGGATAGAAAAAAATCTTTATTGGACCAAAACAATTTTGTATAAAATCAGTGAACTTTGTCTCCTTAACTAGTAATGACTGTGTTTTAAGATGCAGGGCTTTCTCTTAACTATAATCTTGTGGTATTTACAGTAGATTTTTTTTATATGACAACATGAATGTTATTTTTAAATTATTTAGCTTGTTCCTGAAGTTTAATACCATTTCCATTCCTACTGTTTTCTTATTTTATAACCTTAACTAGCTTTCGCCCGCGACTCCGCCTGCGTGGATTTAAAAATGAAAACAAAAGTGAGTAGCCTATGTGTTCTTCCAGACCTCACTCTTCTATCAAACTTCATCAAGATCTATTCAGGCGTTTAGGCTACAAACTCTAACAAACATCCATCCATCTAAACTTTCGCATTTATAATGTTAGTAAGATTATATCTTTATATTTTCCTGTTTATAATGATGGAAAATTTCTGATCTTTATAGTTATTGTTGCTATTTTTTTAATCTTCTTACTAATATTATAAATGCGAAAGTTTAGATGGATGTTTGTTAGAGTTTCTAGCCTAAACGGCTTAATGGATATCGATGAAATTTGGCATAGATGTAGAGGATAGTCTGACACATAGGCTACTCACTTTTATTTTTTTTAATTTAACGCGGACGGAATCGCGGACGAAAGCTAGTCTGCTATAAAGAGTTTGTTTGGCAGAATTTGTTTCTTAGAATTGAATCTGACAAGAGATGAATTGATTCTTAGAGGTGTAACATAACAGTGTAGCATTGTTGTAACTTGATAGCAATATTTATCTTGTGGTTTAGTGTGACATTAACAGGCTTATTGAAGAAACATTTTTTTTTTAACTGTTTACCTTAACATATGTCGAACTATATAAATGTACATATTTATTTTTAGTCAATATTTTACTTTTTACTATGCAAATGTTTGGTGGACAGAAAGATGTTAGTATGTATCTCACTGAGATATGGCATATGTTTTTGAGAAATGACTTAAGTGATTTAAGATTAGATGTAGAACAAAGTCTGGAAGAATACATCGACTACATTTTTTTTAATTTCGTGCGGACCTGAGTGTTCTGGGCGACAACTAGCAATAAAATAATTCTATGTAGTGTTTGCAAATTCGACGGTTTATTTATCCGAATTGCGATAATAGTAGTTCCAATAATCCATTTAGATTTTATCACACGCATGTGTCGGTTTCTAACGGACAATAATTTATACCTACTGTAAACGGATGTCGTTGTGGTCACGTTATCAGAATATTTATTGCTGTTTATTACACCCTTCTGCAGTAAAAATATTAGTGTTTTAACCTAACTATCCAGATAACTAACTATCCTAACTCAGAAACTGTTAATAGTTACTGAAGCAGCCAATTACTTTAGATATCTATGTTAATTCTACCCTCTGAGACAGCCCTTAATACCACTTTAATATGGTTCAGAGCAGTTAGAAAATGTAATGATGCATCTATTATGAATAGCATTATCTCAAATGAAAAAGCACCCGATAACTGTTCTTTTTAGCTGGTCAACTACAGTGGACAAGCAAGAGTGAGATGTCGGTTAGCGCAGCATAATAATTCCGACGAACATCCTCATAAGTTGCTAGAAGACGACCAGGACAGAGATGTGAGCGCGACTGTACCCGAACATGGCAGTTATAAAGTTGGGTATGTTGGGATTTGTAATTTTTCAATAACACGGGTGAACGTCATGGGGATTACTTGAGTAAAAGAGTGAGATGTATCGTTTTTGTCAACTGTCTCTTTCACTCAACGACCATGTATTCATCAGTAGTGAATGGGTGGCCCGAGGTGTGTTACCAATTGGTCTTATATGCGATAACCTTTAACCTGCCTTGTTACCCATGCTTATTATCTGATGATGCATGTAACTAGCCATATTTTTATTATCAGTCTGCAATGTTTGGAATGCATACAGTTCTTATACAGCCTTGAATTAGTTGCTAGCCATGCCATTAGTCATGCGATTCAATTAATAGATACTAAGAAATGTCAGATACATTAAATATTCTTTGTATGCCAGATTAACCAGGAAAAGCTAGCAAATAAACGATATTGGCAAAGGCAGTGTATCGCGCTTGGCGATTATTAATGACGTCACTGAGTAAAACCGGACTATCTTTCTAAGGGTTTGTGCACACAGACAATTGGAACAGATTTTTGGCAAATAAAATTGAGCTTTATAGGATTGAAACAAGGCATAATATATTTTACAGGTCTTTTCTACGCTCGCTCTTAATAAAATTAAAATGTTACAATCGTCTTAAGCTTTATTATTGTTGTTTTTTTGCCGCTTTTTCACTTTTTGTACAACAATTACAATTTTATTTCAGATTCCCTGGTATGGGCATAATACATACAGCGAAAAAGGATGTGGCAAATTTATTGTATAAAAAATATGAAAACAAAAAGAAAAATCCACAAGACGAAAGTTCGTCAAATATGGTATGTGAAATAAATATAAAAATCGTTAAATTTGCAGTGTATGTAATGTAGAGTTAATGTAGTGAAGAAGTGCATGAAGCAAGATAATTTAATCAAAAGTCATCATTAATGTTTATGAATTACAATCGAAGTTCGACTAAACAGCGAACTCTAGTCTTAACAGTAGTTATATACTTATAAATTCGTAGAATCGTAGCTATCATGTTTCAGATAATGCAATCCGATGGGTTAGGTACATGCTGATAAAGTAATAGAATTTATAGTGTTGTATAAATAAATGATCACTTATTCACAATATTGTGATACCAATTTTAACATCAGTTCTAGCTCCCCACAGAGAGACTTAAGGCCTACCCTAATTGAGAGATGAGTGAAGGGTTTAGTCGATTTAGTTTAAAATTAATACCTCTTAAGTACATATAATCAACTATCCTAGTATTATACTGTTTACACTAATTTAAGTTAGTAATTTGATCAGAAATTATTTTGAAAATCAATTATATCACACACTACTGATAAAACTCACTTATATTTTTTATCTCTACATTTACTCTAATAAACTAAGTCAGTGTTTTTAAAAGTGTACCCCACTTCAAGCAACTTGAAAACCACTTGACTTTACTATATTTTGACCGTTATTTGTTTTTTGCCCGTTTTTTTGTTGTTTTGTTTACACTGCTCGCAACCAGCGCTGGGTTACATCGCTAGTCGACGCCACTGAGCCAAAACAATCAATACCAGGCCAGCTCAACTGTCTTACTGTTCTGGCATAATGTAATCAGTCATTTATACTATAAAATCGTTGTGGTATTAAATGTTTTAATATTTATACAAATATCTAAAGTTCATGTATCTCTTCACCGTACAACAGAGAACTACGATTTCCGTTTCATCATCATATTGACAAGCAAAAAATATAATAAAATAGCACACAATTGTCAAATTTACTCACTCACTCAAACCCGTTAAGTGTTTGCCCTTAGTGTTCATTTAATGTGCACTAAAGGACTGTTTAAACATCAGCAGTAATTTAATAAATGACCCTACGGCCAAGTCTACTCTTAACTATGTATACATGTATTTCGCAAACTGATTATAAAGTTTGTTGTGGTTTGTATTAGTCAGCTATACGTTTATGGTGACATTAGTTGGTCGCCTGCGTCCGTGCTCATTGCACTGCTGTTTAGTAATATAATCGCCTCATTTACACTAGTTGTTCGCCCGCGTCCGTACTCATTGCACTGCTCGCGCGAAATGTTATTCTTTGAAAACTGTGGTATGTATTTAACTTACTTACAATTTTAGCTGCGACTCCACTGTGAAAATATTGCAAAAAATATCAACTTGAATATAGTACGACTGAAGTTCAGTGCTCACGATTTTAATACAGATGAAGAGATTTGCAGTCCGATATTTTCCGAACCAATACATAACATGAGTGAGTATTGTAAATTAAACTTTAGATTAACTGTTGACTGCATTTGTGTCACTGCTCTATGTTTTCTTTCTTGTATTTAACACTTCACGTGCCGAAGTCAATTGTGACAAAGTAGAGAATAAAATATTACAAGACTAACTACAGTGGAATTCTACGGTTAATGCTTGTATAAATCAATGTAAAAACATACGAAAAGCAGCAATTCATAGTTTTTATAAATGATCTTGATATTTTTATGTATAAAATAGAATTTCACTATACTTGTATTTTTATTCTCTATTTCGTTTGCTTTGATAAAATAGAGACACATTGTTATTGTTTCAGAGAGCGCGGCAACTAATGATTTGAAGATATGCCGCATGAGTAGATGTATCGGTCGTCCTAAAGGAGGGGACGATGTCATTTTATTAGTGGAGAAAGTTAATAAAAGTATGTATAAATGTTTATAAATATACACGGTACACATGTGGCCACAGATCAGTAGCGCTCAATAACTGGATTGGCACACTGGCATATTCACACACTAACTGGCGCCAGTAAATATATATTATGTAAATCAGTATTTAAGGTTAAAAATCATACGTGTCGCTGTTTGTACATAATTTTAGATGCTTTACCCATCAAGATATTTGAAAAGACTTATACTAGTATAGTTTAAAAGACGTATGCCTTCAATTTTGCCCAAAAGCCGACGGAATAAGTAGTTTTTCTGTTACTGGCAGACATTATAAATGATAATGAACAAAGAATTTGGCGAAATTCGCGGACAGAAACAGTATAATCTATACTAATATTAAAAAGAGGAAATATTTAAATATTTGTATGCATTGGTTTTAACTAAAACTAACTGGCCCGATATTAAAAATACTTTCGCTATTAGGAATCTATGTTATAAGTGACTAACATAGGCTATATATTTTTTTTAAATTTCACGCTGCCGAAGTCGGGAGCAATAGCTACTTGACAAATAAATCAAGTAATTTGTACGTTTAGAATGGACTTTTGTTTTACCAGAACTGAGAGTATACTAGCCATTTGCAATTTTAAAGCCTATTTGCAGTTGTTTCTTTTTTAGATATGTGGCGAATTGTTTAAGTTACAAGCAATTTATTGTTTGCAGAGAACATAAAAATTCGTTTCTACGAATTAGGGGCGAATGGAGAGGAATTATGGTCAGCGGATGGACATTTTCTTCAAAACGATGTTCATCATCAGTATGCTATAGTATTCAGGTAAGATATAAGTACAGTTGGAGAAACTGGCAGTGTTCAACTTGAAAGCTATAGTTGCTTGAACATTTATCGTATAGAGATGATTCTCTATGACATGGTGACAAAGCTTTTAAATGTGCTTTTGTGTGCTATCCCATACTACTAAGTTGGTTATTTGTAATAGGCGGGGTTTGTCTCGTTGTAAGCATCATTTCCGTAACACGGACACCTCGGATTTCCGCGACTGTACATATATCTTATTAAAAACAACTTAAATCACATTTCGATGAGTCTTCCAAAAGTATTTGCCTTAGATAATATTCCTGTGGCCGCTTGTTTGTCATATTGTACTATAAAAAATATGTTTCTCTTCCAGGACACCGCCTTACAGAGACCCAGAAATAACTTCGGATGTACAAGTAATGATAGAATTAGTGAGACCATCCGACGGTCGAACTAGCGAGCCAAAAGAATTCACATACAAACCAAAGTACTTCAACACTATAGGAAAGAAAAGGAAAGCAAACTCGTCTTATTCGTCTATAGGAAGCTCTGGTAAGTGGCCTGCGAAATATGAACTATAGTCCGATTAACTTGTCTGGTTCGCTGATAGGATGATAAGCATTAAAAGTATACAAAATATAAATAAACAGAATAACAACACGGCAATCTAAAGGCAAGGATTATGTAGAATTTTGAACAATTATTTCCCACTTGATAGTATCGTAAAATATTTTGTTATTATCCTTTTTATTTCTTTACATTGGTAACTCTTATCAATACCAACCTTAGGAAAAAGCCCACCTCTTTATAAATGTTATTTTTTTTATTCTACAGAACTCACTTAAAAACCGTGATAAGCTTACGATTATCAAAAAACTCTTGTTTGTTAAGGGATAATGACATTTCTTTGTTTATTTAGCTAGTTAGTTTTAAATGGTGTTTTTATATTTTATCATTAAGGTATTCTTTTTCATGTATTTTTATATTTTAGGCGGTTCAATAAACAGCCTAAGCGATCTGCCAGTGCCCATACAAATTATGCATGTAAGTATTCTTGTAGCCTACAAACCAAATCAAATAAGAGTACTGTATTTTTGTTTGTTTTAGAGCTGCTTTAATAAAAGTGTTTAATTTCAGCAAAAGAACGAAGTAACATCTCACGATGAAGTTATGAAAGATTTGCCAATGTTTACTATTCCGGTAAGTTAATAATATTTATAATTTTTTTTTTATAAAAATTTTACTAGATTTTTGTTCATTTACTAATGTTTCCAATAACCATTCCACTTAAGTTCTAGGGCTTGTGCTAAGATATAGTTCACGATAATAGTCGAATGGCGGGACTTGCACCCTCGACCGCAAAATCTGTGCTCCGTACCCCAAACGATTAGACTATTGTCGCTAAATCTTACTAATAATATATATGCGAAAGTTTAGATGGATGTATGGATGTTTGTTTGTTAGAGTTTGTAGCCAAAACGGCTAAAGGGATATTGATGAAATTTGCCATAGATGTAGAGGATAGTCTGGAAGAACACTTGTTTACGTTGCTTTATTGTAATTCCGCCCGGACGGAGTCGCGGGTGGAAGCTAATATATAATAAACATAATATAAATAAAATAACGACATAAGTTTACGTAAACTTTAGATACTTCATTCATGAGATATGATACTGAAATAATATCATAACCTCCCTTAGGTTCTGCCTTAGTACCGAACTAATGTTTTTGCAGCTAAAATAAAGATAATATTTGTAGCAGGTATCCCAAATATCAGCGCCAGTGTCTAACGACATGTTACTGGGAGAGGCCATATTTGACTTGTCTGCTATGACGTCTAATTCTGCTGCGGCGCAGCTCAGCTCAGCTCAGTTCAATGTGGGCCCCATGCTGGGCCAGCCCAATATACCTGAGCCTCCAGTGCTGCAGCTCAACTCCTCAGAAATTGATCGACTTCTTAAACATAACTCCAATATCACTGCGGAAGAGAAGAAGCAATTCTGCGAAGCTGATTGGACAGGTGATTACACTATTTTTTTTAATATATGGTATTTTTTGATTTAAAATACAATGTACGTCCAATGAGAAGTGATACTGAAAGTGGAGGGGTGCGTAATTTTTTCGAGTTACCTTTTAGTAATACTCAACATGTTTTAATATTTTTTTACAGTTTTAGTTTAATATAACAAATACTCTCATCTATGAAATATGAAGAAAATTTCAAGAAATGTAACACTATGATATTACTAAAATGGCCACAATGTTGGCAAATGCGTCTTAATTTGCGAGAGAACGAGACAGTACGACATGTACACAAGATAGAAAGAGATAGATAATAGATTGTTAAGTGAATGAGTTTGTATCGCTGCTAGTTGGACGTTAGCTGTAAATGCGAAAGTTTCTTATATAGACTTTTTAGTAATTAAAATCGTTAATGTTGCCAGTTATTCATCGTACTTAGTTTGCTTGTCTTTGTTTTAGAATACTTCAAATCGTATGGAGACAGCGTGCCAGATATGGTAAATATTTTTAGTTAATGATTAAAAATTAACTATTATTTTAACTTTATCACCTTCACAATCATCGCTTTAATATTCAATATAATACATGGTTTTGATGCCAGTACAGTTGGACAGTAGCACTCAAAATTATCTTTGACATAGTAGCATAACATGGATGCTAACTGGTACCAGTAAGCGAAAAAAATAATCTGTATGGATCCAGGGCAACTGTCCAGATTATCCAATTTACAGTATTCCAGTCAAGCGAATCTACAAATTAATTTTACAATAAACAAAAAATAAATGAAAAGACTGAAAACTAATATTATAACCTGTATAGATTATCGTTATAAAGTATTTTTGGTTAATTTGAATACTTTTTATATATTAAACAGAATGTTATGTTTTTTACAATATCATTTATTCTGTTGTGTAGGTTTGTCTCTGATTGTTTTAATTGTATCCAAAGATATTTCTAGATCTGAGAGAAATTGTTTTAAAAGTATTAATATTTTTAAAAGTACAACAATCGTACTTGGTAGTAGTTTAATTGTCAGCATAGGAATCCCTTAGTGTAGTGTAAGGAGTCCCTAACTTACATAAAGCTTCTTTGAGTGTGACAGTCTTTAAAATTGATTGGTAACTGAGTGTCAATTTTTTTGTCTTGTACTTGAGAATTATCTGAGTTTTGTTGTAGTGACTTTGATCTATTTGTTTTTATTTGTTTGTTTTTGATTATATGATCAGTTGTAGTTTGTTGTATTTTATCATTGTTAAATTATACAAAATAATTTTAATAACATTTTCATATGTATCGCACAATTTTGTGAAATATTGATATATATTAATGAAACCAGAATGTGGAGGTAACTGCACTTCTATAGGGAGAAAAAGAGGAAAATATGATTCAAAGCTTATTTTATTGTCACTATATTACATAGAAATTTGTACTACCCTTGGTTTTATTATATTTTTTTATAGCAAACTGCGTTTTTGTTTAATTCACCTTTCACTACTTCACCTAACACATGTCATGAATCAATCATTTGTTGAAAATTGATCGTCGCTTGCTGGCTTCTACAAATGTTCAATTATAATTAAAGAGTCTAACTGTTCAATTAAAACTGTGCGTGTATATCGTAGGCAAAATTTAAATTGTCGGTTGAACTGTTTAGTTAAAATTTTGCCTACACGCACAGTTTTAAACGAACTATTCGACTGTATTACGGGCTTGAGTCTTAATTAACACTGGAAGTAAACAATTAAACGTTTTGTTATTGTTAACCGTCATTGAGACCAAAGTAACATTTGGCTAACGGCCGTAAATCATTAATTATAACTTTAAAATTAAACTGACAATTTAAATTTTGCCTACGCTATACACGCACAGTTTTAATTGAATTAATTAGTTAATTAATATAAGACTCGAGAGAATCACTAAAATTACTCTCAGAGTTTGTCCATATGTCAAACTTGAATCGAAATCTTATTTAATGCCCAATTTGTAATGAGTCCTTAACCTATACCTTAAAAATAACCTCAAAATTGGTGAATCATCTAAACCACTCTCATGATGTATTTGATCGATTTCAAGAATAAGTACACCTTTCACCTAAACTCATTAGACGAATTAATTATTTTGAGATGAATAAAAAAATTATAGTGGTTCCATAAGACCTATGCAAAGAACTTAAGTTGAAGTGGTACCTTGAGTTTTTTAAATGTCAAGTGGTATGTTAAGTGATTTAAGACAAGGCTTCTATTAAGATAAAGGTTCTTCGTTTTTATGTTTGTTACAATGTAGTGTTTATGTTACTAGGAAATGTGATCGTAGAACTGCCAAGCCAATGCTGTTGTCCTTGTTTTGTTGAGTATATTAGAAAGGGCCGGCAATATGTTTTGTTAAGTGTTTCATACAAAGTTAATGATCATTATTCTGCAACAAATTAAATAAAGTTAGTTAGTATAGTTATGTAGATAAATCCGGATTATGTTATTCCAGTCCAGCGATTATCATCTTTAGATAAAAGGGGAAGAATGTCAACCCACTCTGGAATGCACTGAGGTTTCAGTGTAGTTTTACCTTTTTCCAAATGTAATCCAGGGTAGATTATAATCGCTGGACTGGAATAATGTAAACTGGGTATCGAACTCGAATTATTTTAATCTTTCTGTTTTTTTTTTCTAGATGTCAGGCATGGAGTTCATAAGATTGGTGCCAGATTCAGCCAGGGTGAATGTAAGTTATGTTTATGTGATACAAATATTTTAACTGAGATTTTGCTGTACAGTTCTCAATGTGCCTACACATGATAGTTGTACTGTTCAGTTTGACTGTACAGTTAAAACTGAAGGTGTGTGTTATGTCAAATACATTTTGTGGTTATTAAATTATAAATTAAAACCATTGAATTTTAAAAAAAATTAAGTAGCCTGTGTTCTCGAAGACTTCGTTTTAATTTGTGCCAAATTACATCGAGAACTGTTAGGTTGTTTTAAAGATACATAGTAACTAACCTCCATCCATCCGTCTAATTTTGTTTGGACTTAATACATTTTTAATTAATTACAATGTACAGATGAACACAATTGATACAAAAATAAAGACCGAAGAGGAGGAAGTCAAAACTAATCTAGAAAACTCTAAGAATAGCGAGTATTCTGCTTACTACAAATCTGAGGACGGCCTCGAGGTTAAAAGGGTATTTTTTTATTACGTTTTTAATATTAAATCATTGTATGATTGTTTTTAAATCATTGTATGATTTAAAAATATATATATTAATATTATTTTATATTTCACAGCTTGTGACTGAATTGTGTGACATGATAAAGAACAAGACCGCACATAAGAAGCAATTGATCAGAGCTAAGCTCGAGCGACTCTTCGAAATGCGACTCTCTAATGGGGATACGTAAGTTCATTTCTCCTTGACAACGAATAGATTCCCAAGATTTCGTGTTAATGACGTCATAGAATGCGCTCTTTTTGTGTGACGTATTTTTATTGAAACTAGTTTTTGCTTGCGACTTTGTCCGTGCGGAATTAAAAATACACTTTTCTGGTAATATGTAATAGTCTTATTGCTTAGTGAAAATGTATTTTTAGTAAGCAAGAATAGTTGAAAGATTTTTTGGCATATTAATAAAATAACTAACCCGATGAAGGCCTTGTTTTATATTTTATAGGGTGGCAAACGAGCGAACGGCCACCTGAATTCGCCGAGAAACCAAAGCTATCGCTGCCCATATATCAGCAATTGCAGATGCGTTGCCTACCCTTAAATAACCGAGAAGCCGCACATAAAGAGGATATTTCTCTTTCCTATGTGTCTTCTCCACTGTTAAATTCACTTTCCCCATCCTTTTCGTATAAGGAAGTGATGGGAAGGGAGTCTTCGGAGTGCATCTTTTTGCTTATTAAAACAGTAACAATATCTAGGTTCCTACATATGATGCTGTCGAGCAACCAGCCCAGCTTGGAGTACATAGTGAAGCTGATAGACAGCGTGAAGCTGACTCAGCTGCTCAACAAGACCAACAACAATAGCCAGTCCGTGCTGCACCTCGCCGTCACACACGACCTGCCCAACCTCGTCACATTCCTCGTCTCTAAAGGTACAGTTAGGGAATCTGGTGGTGGTACTGGTAAAAAAAATTGGTAGAAATTTGTTAATTTACTAATATTTTCTTTAACTATTAAACCTCTAGGCTTGTATAAGGATATAGTTCACGACAATGGTAGAATCGCGGGATATGAACCCTCGACCGCAAGGTCGGTAGTCCGTACCCCGAACCGCTACTATTGGCGCTTTAAAACTACAGTTTGGACATTTGGTACACATTGAGATGCGGTATAACCAATAGCTTTAAAATATGTCTGTACGTAAAAAAATATTCAGTTGTCGCTCTTTTAGCTTGGAGTACCTACTGGAAGTCTAATACTGAAACGACATTTTTAACAGCGTCTTAAATATTAAGGCTATTACGCTATGAATTACATTAAAGTGTTGATTTCTCTCCGATTTCGACCATAATTATCATAAATAAATGTTTTACTCTTTTGTGAAAACTGCTATAAAAATGATTTGTTATACTTCTAAGAATTTGTGCAACCTTTTTGCCAAAAATCGATAGAAAAGTAATTTTAATTATATCTGTTTTAATGAATATTTATTTTATTTCGGATTAACTATTGAAACAATGTATTGCAGGTTCTAGCAATTTTTATTGTGTCGTGTTTCCAGGATGCAACCCAATGTTAGAAGACAATGAGGGTAACAATGTGCTACACTACGCAGTGATCTGTCAGTCGTGTCTGGAGCCATTGCTCGACGCCATGAGGACGAACAAAATCACTTTTGATATCAACGCATATAATAATGGTAAGTGCTTATTAGGTCAACTATAGAGACTGGATGAAAAATGTCAGAATTAAGAAGGAAATGCCAATCGTATTACTATTTCTTTACACTTAGCCATATTAAATGATTTTTTCGTGTTTATCAAATCACTAGCTTTCGCTCGCGACTCAGTCCGCGTGAATTTAAATCCGGCTTTATCTATATTTCATTAATATTTTTCTGTCCTGTGTAACATTTATCTTCTTTTTCTTACATTGTCTGCAATTTTGTTTTTTATAAATGATACAATAGATAATGATGATGACATTTGACAAAGGTTATTAATATTTTGTGTTACATTTGTATTTTTAAACATCGTGCTCGTTAATCTTTGATTCCCAGAGAAACAGACAGCGTTGCACCTGTCCGCGATCTACGGGT